AAAGAAGAACAGTATGTACCTTGCTCAGAGTCTAGACAAGTCCAAGTTTGCACAGGCTTCTGGGAATTTAGTTGAGAGGTTAGCTAGGTGTTTCTCTAAGGAGGGGGTTCAAGACTAGAGGAAGAGGAGGAGTAATGAATAAAAGCTTCTGCTTGTTGTTGTTAAGCTTATGAGCTTCTGCTTCTTTTTAATCTTACATTTCTAGAAGGTGGTTCCAAACAATGATAAAGAAATCATTGCATCCTTTAGGGAAGGAACTTTCAGGTTAACTGGAATTGGAGGAAAATGTGAAAAATGCCTTTTCATTCAAATTTCAAATTTCTTTCAAGGCTTTATGATAGATAGCCTCTGAAATTTGAAAGATTTGGATTCTTACAGAAAGGTTGATGAACATCACAGATTTTGTTCACATTTTGCGTTTCAAATTGCTCTGCTTTTTTAGCCTTTTATTAATGCTTCCCCCACCTCCCCCAATTTCCTTTATAATTGCCTAGAGGGCCTGGGTGTCCTTCCTTCACCTGGCTGACTAGTGCCTGCGATGCAGGTCTGATATTGTCAGATTGGTAGAAGGGAGTGCTGTCTCCCAGTTCTCCATATTTTTAGGTTTGGTATTGGGAGGGTTTGATGGTATTGCCCTTAGTGAGTGTGTGTATATTTCATTTTGTTTATGAATCATGATGATTATTCCTCTTTCTCTTTTTTTATTGCTGACAAATTAATGAAGATGGTAACATGATGATATATGTGAACTTCAAAGTACTATTAGTGCCTACATAGATCTGTGAGTGACTGCTTTTTCTTTCTTGTGTACTGTTGTTGTTGTTGCCCACTTTTGGAGTAGATAATTACCTATTGCCTTCTCCCTGCTTTTTTTTTTGAGACTAGTTTTGAGGAGTCTATAGGGCTTAGTTGGATCTAGCACCAGAAACCAGAATGAGAAATCTGAAATTCAGGAACCTGAAAAGATTCACGTACTTTAGGGCTGATTGAAAGGGCTTGTACCTGAAAGAACCCGAAACCAAAAGATGAGTCTCCCCAAACAAAACAAAACAAAACCCTAAAAATTTTCCCCTGAACATTCCTAATGTCTTTTTCAAAGAAATTAATATCTATGTGTTTCCTTTTATATATGGCTCTTTAATTTGCTTGTTCAGATACATGTCCTCATAAGTAAAATGGATCTCCATAAATGTCCATAAATTTGCATTTATTAGGAAGAAGAAAGAATTTGGCAAAACTGATTTCGTGGACAACAATTCCCAGAATCCCTATGGCAATATGGTCAGTTTTTATTCTGGGATTGTGATTGGTTTAGGCCAGCAAGTCATTTTCCCAAGCTCTGCTATGCCTCCCATTATCTACTACATTATGGGAGCCAGTGCAGGTCTGGTAAATGTAATGTCAGAGTAGAGCTCAGAAGGCCTAAGTTCAAAATCCTACTTATTCATGGGAATTCAGTGGAGGGAATAGAGTAGCGTGGAAAAACTGCTCCTTGATCATCTCATGGATCTTGAAAATCTTACAAGGCCTGTTCTGTCAGAAATGGCTTGATGATGTAACAATAACAACTAGAGTGGTGCCTCACTTGACAACATTAATCCGTTCCAGCAAAATCGCTGTAGAATGAAGCGAAAGTAAAAAGCCTATTGAAACACATTGAAAACCGTTCCAGTGGGCAAAATACCTCCATAGGGCGGCCATTTTCTGGTGCCTGTAATGCAAGGAATCCATCTTAAGCACAGTGGGGAGCCATTTTGAACAGCAGGTGGCCATTTTGAAACCTGACAATCAGCTGTTTTCTGATCATTGTAAAGTGAAAAATCGTGAAGCGATTTCATTGTTAAATGAGGTAATTGTTAAGCGGGGCACCACTGTATAATATAGTCCGTAGCAGTGAAATAAAATAGCAACATTTGTGGCAAATGCACATAGAATCAAAATATGAGAGGTACCATACTGGATTGGCTTTCATATATATATGGTAATGAAAAAAAAACTGAAGACCTTTAAGCTTGGATATTTTCTAGTTGTAATTTAAAAAGTATCTGAAGGAAATGACACTTTGTCCCCTCTCCTTTGCTACACCCAGTTTTTACTGTTTCTCTTCACTTGCTCTGAATTTCTCCCAGCAATCCATTTGTGAGTAGTGTGTCACTTGTGGGATTCCCATGGGATTCTCATAGATGGCTGAGTGGTGGGTAGAGGGTCTGCCATTGCAAACCATTGGCAAAAAAAAGGACAGCCATCTCATGTGAATATCACCAGAAGCCCCTGTCATTATTTATTCATGTAACTGCATCAACAATGTACACAGCTGTTTTAAATGGCCAACTCGTCCCATTTAATCCTGAAAAGAACCCTCTAAGGTCTGTTTGTTGAGAGGTACTTGACTCCTGAAACCAAGTAACTTTTCTGGTTAAGCAGGGATTTGAACGTGGATCTCTTAGAGATCCACTACCACCCTTGTACTCACATGCTACTGGCTTTCTCAGATCAGTGGTTATGGTTAACATATAAAATGAAGTTAATATACATGCTTTGAAAGGGGAATTTATTTGTTGTCTGGATTTCTTTGCTTTTGGGGAATCACTTCAACAATAACTTTTTGCAAAAGTCCCATCCCCATCTTAATGAATATACAGTACAATTACCTACTCCATTATTTGTGTGAAAAGGAATGTTATATTATGGGTAATGGTTGAGAAATGCAAGTTAAAGAAGAAGACTGACAAGGAAACTTATTGGAGGCTGATCAACTTAGAAAAATTAAAGGATGCTACAGTCATGTGAAAAAGTACACCTAAAGTATTCTAGATGTGAGGTCATCTGTCCAACAGCTAAAGCTTGGCTGAAACTGGGTCATGCAACAGGACAATGATCCCAAACACATCAGCAAATCTACAATAGAATGGCTGAGGCACAAAAGAATAAAGGAGTTGCAATGGCTCAGTCAAAGTCCAGAACTCAACCTGATTGAAATGATGAAGTGGAACCTTAAGAGAGCTATCCATAAACTGCAAAACCCAATGAACTGGAGCAATGTTAAGTGGAACCTTAAGAGAGCTGTCCATAAACAAATGCCTGCAAAACCCAATGAACTGGAGCAATGTTGTAAAGAAGATGGGGCCAGAATTCCTCCACAACAATGTGAGAGACTGATAGTCATACAGAAAACAATTGCTTAAAGATATTGCTGCTAAAGTTGGTTCTACAACCTGTTGTATCATAAGGTGTACTTAGTTTTTCACACAGGGCTTCCCCATTTGGGCTTTATTTATTTATTAAATATATCATGACACAGTGTAATATGCCATGTGTTGTTGTTCATCTGAGGTTGTATTTACCTAATTTTCAGACCTGCTAAGGACCAGATGGTTTTTATTATGTCCTGATACATAAAACCATAGAATTCAAAAAGGGTGTACTTTCTTGTTCACGTGACTGTATATTATTTTGAAAAGCCTTTTAAACATTCCCTTAAAAATAGCACTTAATATGCTTCATGTAACTATGTTGTTGCATGATTCAGAAATTTCCTTTTTGGACTGGATAAGTCATTTTTCCAATTTTCTGTCCAATACATGAACCTTACATTCAAAATTTTCAAGGGACATATAAACATGGTTTGGAATGTGTGAAAATAATTATCATCTGTTCCCTGGTATGATTCAGCTTCCTTTTTTCAAGCTCAGGCAAGCTGTTGTGGCTGTTCATTTTCAGACAAGGCCATCAGCTTCGACTGATGCACAATATCTTTAGATCCCTCTGGAATGATGTTTTCATAGAATTGTTTGAATAAAAAGTCTTCCACACAACATCTTATGTTGAGCTATGGAATCAAAACCTTGTTTTATATTCCCAGATACTATCTTAGTGTGATTACATTTCAAGTCTACCAGGAAACCTTATGCCATTTTTGTAAGATACTGACTTTTATGTGACTTACACAGCAGCTGCTTTAGCACTGGGTGCTGAATATGCTGTAAGAGATAGCTTTAAATTTCTGTGTTGATGCAACAATTTGGCAATTTTAAAATTTATATTAATGGAAGGGTTTTAATTTTTTGCATTGTATTTTGAAGATACTGTGTTTTCAGTCATTGTTTCTTGAAATGGGATTTGTCATATCACATATTTTTCTTGTGATTTAAATCTTTTTAAAGATTTGGCTATAGGTCATAAAAGTTCATCTTAGAATCAATGAATGTATTACTTTCATCTTGTACGCATGCAGAAGTAAAATGTAGTCATGATACGTAGAGTACTCAAGCATCCTAGGATATGGTTGCAAGGTCTGAGAGAATTACTGAAAAGTAATTCACAACCTGTGATTATTATACTGTTAAATTCCTATGTTATATTTATGTCACACTTAATATGTAAATAGTACAATGTGTGATTCTGTGTATCTCTGGAATCAAAAACATTGAAGCTGAGGCTGTCCTACTTTGGGGACATCATGAGAAGGAAAGATTCTCTGGAAAAGACAATAATACTGGGAAAGGTGGAAGGCAGCAGGAAAAGAGGAAGACTGGATATGAGATGTTTTGACTCTCTAAAGGAAGCCATGGGCTTGAGTTTACAAGAATTGAGCAGGATAGTTGAGGACAGGACATTTTGGAGATCACTCATTCATAACATGAGTTAGAGCTGATTTGATGGGACAAAACAACAATAATGTTTCAAAAGCCCTATGAGGTCAGTTAATACCTACACCATTATTCTATGCATTATGTGCTGTATTGTGTAATATTAAAAACCTCAACCTTTTTGCTGCTATATATATGTTTCTTTTTCTCTTTGAAACTAATGTAATACTTAGTACCCAACTCTTATTTTTATGGTTCCTTGTGACGTAATCATGAGACCCAACTGATACCGTAATTTTTCCCCAACAAGCTCAATTTTATTGAGACTTCATATCTGAATCTTAAGTAATGTTTGGTGCTTAAACTGTCATGAGATTGTATCTGATTGATATGGATTTTCCTTGATTTTAGTTTGGTGGCCACAAAAGAAACAGACAGTGCAAGATCTCGTAGCATGCCAATGTCTCCGTCCGATTTCCTGGATAAATTAATGGGTCGGATGTCTGGCTACGATGCAAGAATCAGGCCAAACTTCAAAGGTAATTTCATCTCCCAGGTATCCACCCAATTATGTTTTTATTTGCACAGATGCTTTGGGGGAAATTGTTTTGCCAGCAAGGGAATATATTCAGCCAATAATTTAGAATATATGTTTGATCTTTCATATGTCATGGTAAACCTTTTTGAAATTTCTGGAGAATTTCCAGAACCAAAGAGCAATTAGAGTAGAGGATTCTTATAATTAGTAGAAATGTTGATGACATAATAATCTACCTGACCCAACAACAATGTTTCTAGAATAACCATTGGAAAGCCACACTGTAAGTCACAAGTATTTCACCCTGCCTGTATGAAACAGCTCCCCCTCTGCCTGCCATATCTAGCCTATGAGCTAAGGGTGGGACAATCAATTCCAGCAACTTTGCATTGTATTGAAGAAGCTTTGCCCCATATGAACAGAAAAACACAATACCACTGAGACAGAACATGCAGGGTTTCATAGAATGGTTCAAGCAGTTCCAGACAGTCATATTATTTTCCCATACTTTTTCAATTATTTATTGTCAAGTTCATTGTTTTCTTACTGTTGGCTTTCATGCAATAAAGCATTACCATGATAGAACTGCTTATTCCTTATGACAGACCAGCTCATTATAAACAAGCTAAAAAGGCCTTTGTTTTTTAGCCTGTAGCAAAATGGTGGCAAAATGTCCTTGTCATCTTCTAGTGATTCCATTACTTTATTCTTTCAGATATAATCTGATGGTCCTTCATGGTTGTTGTTCTTTAACGAGGTTCTTTTTCCACCTCACATGCTAATTCTCATTATTATCCCAGAATGACCTTAGGTTCAACTTCATTTTCCTAGAATTGGATGTGAACATATATTAATGCTGCTCTCAAAATGTATTAGTATATGTTCATAACCACTCTGGGCAATATGTAATTATTCCCATTTTACAGATGTGGATCTGAAGTTGAGATATTCACTTGCTCAAGGCTAGCCAGTGGTTAACAGTGAAATAGAATATAAAACCAGCAACTCCAATATTCTAGTCTATGAGTCAAATCAGATATTAAGGGAATGCATATTCCCTATGATTAACCTGTTTTCTCTTTCAGAACAGTATTTCCTCAGAGAGATGTACCGTAGCAGTCAGAGCTACAAGTTACATCTAAGCTTACCTTCCAATGACCAATTTTTTAAAAAAGGCATGCTATAAGCAAGATATTTAGGAGAGAAAGACTGTGTGCTGCAACAGACAGTTATCTTTCACCACTTTGTGGAACTTCTCTGCAAAAGGAGGAGCGATGTGATACCGGGTTTGATATTAAGATTCGGTGTTCAGAAACATATTGTTCTTCTCTTGTAAAAAGAAGATAAAAGAGGTCAAACATAAATCACCAGCAGATTCCACATTTATAGTCAATATGTAGAAAATGAGCCATGTTGCTGGTTAAGTGAGAGAAATGGAAACAATGATAGCATGATAATATTTGAAAACATATTGTAGCTTTAACTACAGAGCTGAAGATTGTCTGTGTTGTATTTTACCCTTGAAACCAAGAGCAGGCTATTAAAATACCGTATTTTTTGCACCATAAGACAGTAGACTATTAAAATACATGCAAGAGAGAATAGCCTTCACAATCGATATAGAACTCTGATGGAAGAGCACACTAGCACTTGAGAACATTGTAAATATGTGGTTGGCATCTTTTTCTAACAGAAGAGCTCCAAATGGTCCAGAAAAGGTGCAGAGTCTATTTTTGAACAAGACAAATTGATTGCTGTTAGGTAACAGTTAAGTTTTTCTTGTAAGAACAATGTGGCTGGAATTTCTAGAAAAAGAAACAAAGATGGAGGTGATAGCAGAGAACCTTCTGTAGAAAAAAAAAGAAAGGGAAATAGAAATAAAGAGGAAGTACTCATAAAATTCAGGCAAAGGTTTCAGAAATAGGAATGTAAGAACTAACTTAAAGTTGCTGCTGATTGAGAGAGTAGGGCAGGAGAAATAAGTCTACATAAAACTAAAGGAAATGTCAAGCACTATGGAATGCATGGAGCTGCGTTAAACGACTCCCTTTTCTTATTCTCTTTAATTGTTAACCTCAAACGTTTACTTTTGTATCAGTGAATCTTTTAAGTTGTTCTTTTTATAGGTTTTTCCATTATAATTTTATGGATAAAGAGCTGGATAAGAGCACATATATATGTAAGAATGTAAGGAAGCATTGCATCCCAGTTTCCTTGTTATTATGTCACAGGGGACTAAAATCAAAGAACACCTCTAGTATCAATATTCTAGTATCACTACAATAATCTATTCCTTCCTTCCCCTCCCTTTCCACTAAAAGTGAATTGTAAAAAAAAAAAAAGTTTCTAAGGGGATAGCTGTGTGAATCCGTTGCAGGAAAAATAACAAACAATCTTATGCTGTCTTAAAGATCAACAAGGTTTATTTGGCAAAAATTTTCATGCAGCCCATAGCTGCATAGAATGGAAACTCAGTAGGTAGTATAAAATGGCCATCTAGTGAGACTCCACTGTGTGCATCTGGAAGAACTGGAATGCTTTGATAAAGAGTGGGCAAGAGAATTAGGAATCAGTAAACTGTATTTGAAACAAATTTTGTTTAAAGAAAACCCTTATGCCTGTTGACCTAAATTTGTGTGTTCTCTGCAAGCAATCAGCTGAGACCTCCAGTGAGAATGATCTGTGGCTCTCTTCACAGCCCACTGAGTGGGAAGAAAGAGAAGAAGAGATTAGGAAGAGTTGTCAGAAAAAGAGAGAAAAGGGAATTGTTAGCATGCAATCCCCAACAGATGATCTCAGAAATTTCATTCTTAAAAACAAAAGGCTCTCCTTCCCTACTATGTGTTTTCCCACCCCTACAATATGTGCTCATGCAAACAGGACTTAAATGCAAAATCTAAAATCTAGATGGAAGATGAAATGTGTTAATAGTCAGTTATTAGACTTGGATGCTGTAGTTGACTTAGCTCCCATGCAGATACCTATGGCCCTTGCTTGTCTAGTGACTATGGAGACAGTTCAAATTTTATTGCTTGAGGCTGTGGAGAGGATCCTTGGAGAGGTTGGAGCTGTGATATGCATGCTGGATCCTTGCCTTTCTTGGTTCATAAAAGCAGCCAGGAGGGGGACTGACCAAGTGGGTAAGGGGAGTTACGAACACCATCCTAGAACAAGGCAGGATTCCAGCCTGTCTAAAAGTGGTAATGATAAGATTTCTGTTAAGTCCTGCATGAACCCAGATATACTGGATAATTACAGATCAGTCTTAAACACTGCATTGTTGTGCAAAGATCTGGAGTGTGTGATAGACTTTCAGCTCCAGGAGTTCCTGGATAAAACAGACTCTTAAGATCTAATTCAATATGGCTTCAGCCCTGGCTATGGGATGCAGAAAGTTTTATTTATTTATTTATTTATTTATTTATATGCCGCCCACTCTACCCAGAGGTCTCTGGGCGGCTTACAACAATTAAAATTCAATACAATAAAATATAAAATGATTAAAATACAATTAAAATACAATTAAAATGCAATTAAAATTGCCATCATCAGGACCCACAGTTGATGTTATTTCAATTAAAAGTCTTTTAATCACAATCTAGACCAGTAACTAGACTGCAAGAATGTGCCTCTGTTGGTTCTCCTGGACCTCTCAATGGCTTTTGATACAATTGACCATGGTATACTTCTGAGTTGCCTCTGTGGGATGGGACTTGCAATTATTCTGATTCTTCCTGGAGGATCATGTTCAGATGGTTATGCTGGAATGCTCTTGCTTGACACTATGCCTATTTGTTTAAGAGATCCTTTAGAGTTCTGTTCTGTCTTCCTTGCTATTTAACACATATAAGAAGCCATCAGAAGAGGTTGTCCAGAGTTTTGACGTTCAGTGCTACTGATGATACACCCAAGTCTTTCCCTCCTTTCCCTCTAATTCCAGGAAACAGTTTCAGTTCTAAACCAATATTTGCTGTCAGTAATGGACTGAATGATGATGAACAGACTGAAACTTATTCCAGGCAAAAGTGCTCCTACTTCTGAGAAGGCAGATCAAAGAATAGAGAACAGAGATCCTTACAACTTAGGCGTGCTCTCAAATTCATCCCTAAGTGTGAATGCTCACATTTTGGCAATAGGCAATAGTGTCTTTGCATAATTAAAGCCAATGTGTTAGTGACACTCAATCCTTGAAATGTCTGACCTGGTCATGGTGACACATTCTGTAGTTACATGCCTTTGAATTGTGGTGCTGGAGGAGGCTCTTGAGAGTCCCCTGGACTGCAAGGAGAACAAACCTATTAATTCTAAAGGAAATCAACCCTGATTGCTCACTGGAAGGACAGATCCTGAAGCTGAGGCTCCAATACTTTGGCCATCTCATGAGAAGAGAGGACTCCCTGGAAAAGACCTTAATGTTGGGAAAGTATGAAGGCAAGAGGAGAAGGGGATGACAGAGGATGAGATGGTTGGACAGTGTCACCGAAGCAACCAACATGAATCTGACCCAACTCTGGGAGGCAGTGGAAGATAGGAGGGCCTGGCGTGCTCTGGTCCATGGGGTCACGAAGAGTCGGACACGACTAAACGACTAAATGAATGAACGAATGCCCCCTCTGTGGAGCTGCCTTTGAAAATTGCTCAGAAACTTTAGTAGGTTCAGGATGCGACTACTAGACTTTTGGCTACAAAAAAAAATGTTCTTGTCACAGTAGTCTCACTGGCTACCAGTCTATTCTCAGGCCCATATAACCTGACCTATAAAGACCTAAATGATTTCAGTCCAGCCTATATGAAGGACTATGACCCCCCTATGAACCTCTGCAGTTGTTAACATCTTCATAGGAGGCCCTTCTCTTAATCCCACTGCTCTCGGAGGCATGTTTGGTCAGGACACAAGAGAACGTTTTTGGTGACATAGGCTGTGCAACTCCCTTCCATGGGAGACCGGACTGGCCCCTTCCCTATTGGCCTTCTGCCAGCAGGCAAAGACCTTTCTTTTTTGGCGGCCATAATTAAATGGCTAAAGAGTGGGTTTTGATAGGGAAACTGTATTTTTAAAATATTTTTTAACCAAAATCAATCACCATGTGAAACCAGTGTGGTGTAGTGATTAGAATGCCAGATTCCACTCAGTGGGTGACAGTGGACCCATCCTGCGCCCTCTGACTTGCCTTGCTGGTTGTTAGGAAGATGAGGCTTCAGGAGACATGTACGCTCCTTTGGCTTCACTACAGGAGAGGGGGAATGTTTGTGTGTGTGTGGTAATTAAATGAGTAATATGAATGGACAACAAAACAATTCCGATAGATAAGTACTGATGGGCCCCCAAAAATCTAATTTGAAATGAAAATACTAATTGTTGTTTCTACCAAAAAAAATCCAACTTTTTTCTTAATAATACAATCACTTATTGCTTCTGAGACAACCCAACAATAGAGCATTCACATTCCAGAGCTATGTAGGGTGCTGATTGAACCCTTGGTAAGTCCAGGAGTGAGGAATTCCAGCAATTCTATCTAAGCCTGAGTGCACTATGAAACAGTTACAGCAGGGTGATATCACTTTAACTGCAGTTTGTTGAGGTCTAGCAGATTTCTCTAGAAATCTGTACAGCACTTCTACGAACTCTTCTAGCATTCTCCAGTAAAAAATTCTAAATACCTCACTGAACTGTAAATATTTGATACAAACAACCACTACAGTTGCTGGACACATTTTGCTGCTTGCCTGGATTCTGAATGTCACTTTTCCTCCAGTTCTGGATTGCCATTTTAAATGGTTGTCAGGTTTTTCCTAGGTTTTGAGCCCACTTAACCCGGCTCCTTTCATTCATTTTTCCACAATCAGCTGGCTCTAAAGCTATTGGCCTTCCCCCAACTCATGTAGGCCTTATATAATATACGTAATCTTAGAACTGCATTGCTGAAAGGGACCCTATGGATCATCAAGTCCAGCCCCTGTCAAGGAGGCACAGTGGAGAATCAAACTCCCAACTTCAGGCTCTGCAGCCAGAGACCCAAACCACTATGTCTGTGACATAACAATGACCTGCAGTTTGCTCTCACATCTTTCCATGAAATCTGAAGAGAATGTGATACTGATGACCTGACAACCCTGTTTTTGATGAAGCTGTGAGTCACCTGAAGATTTTTGTGGTGGGAAAGCAGAATTTCCATTTCCAAATTCATAAACAATATCTGCCTAGGTCCTGTATTTGAGATATTTGAGAGGTTCAAAAAGCTCTGAACTGCCTTTATACTTGCTATTCTCTAAGAATGTGATCAGTGTTGTCAGCAACAGAAAATGTCTGCCCAGTACATTCCACTGTTTGAAGGGGGGAAGCAAATGGTGCCACTTGCCCTGGAGTTTTTGAGGTGCATAACACCCCAAAGCCTGTAAAATTGCTACAGAAAATAAGGCACAAAAATCCCACATCACCTCCTCCCCATCCCTTATAGTAAAAACAATAATAACAAAGTTAAAGATATTTATATAGATATACTGTAGATGGTATAAATATATAGATATGCCATTTAAAGACACCCAAAATCTGTTTTCCTGGGCAGCTGCCTCACACAGTTTAGCTGCAAGGCCAGTCCAACCCCCCTATTGTCTTTTGAACTGCCCCCTTAGTGCTGGCTCCATGCAGCACCCTTTTATATGGATGGTATGACCTGTTCATCAGTAGAACTATAGTTCCACTAGTGGACCTGTCTTGTTGGATTTGGTCATTGCCCTAAACTTCCTGACTTCCAATTGAATTGGAAACCAGGAAGGAACAGGAAACAATGGTGGACAAACTCAAACACGCATAAAACCAATTGCCACATATATTTTAGATGGCTTTTCTTTTCTCTTGTTCTCTTTTTTCTTGTTTCTTTATTCACCTCTCCAAATGTTTGATGTTAAATCAGAAAACATGTCTAGACTGTCTTTGACAGACACCCGAGGGAATGTGTCCTTTTTCTTCTATTTGACAATGCTGTCTAACTTGTCAGGGCAGTCAAATATGATTGGCTTTAACTTAAAGGAAAAGATCTGTTGAAGGTGTCACTTTTCTCCATCTTACTGTTCCGTAAAGCTGCAATCAACATTGTTCCACTGAAATGACAGGCACGCACCTGATCATTAGTAGTTTATAAAGCATAAACCTAGGCAAATAGGTGCCATTCTTTCATCCATCTATTGCAAATTGTAATAGTTGTTGGTGTTTATTAGCTACTCTTCAAGAAGCTTGTGCAATGGCCAATAAATGTAAGTGAATCTATACTGATCCTTCATTAACCTAGCAAGCTCCTCAAACTGTTCCAATACCTAAAATTACTGACTTCTTTATTGCCACTAGTTAACCTATCTTATACTTTGACAGTTGTGGAAAATTTTGTTTTGTGGAGGCACTAATTGCTGCATGTTTTTCCCCCAGGGCCTCCGGTAAATGTCACATGCAACATCTTTATAAACAGTTTTGGATCCATTGCAGAAACAACTATGGTGAGCTATTCTTTATTTCAAATATTTTACATCCATCTTATTTAGGTTGCAATAGTGTGAACTTTGTCTTGGAAATATGAAGACCTGTTGATTTTGGAGGGGTTGTCTTCTGAATGAACCTGCATTGGGATCAGACTACATTGCAGCTAAGTGATACCCCGGAACCTTCTAAAATGAGGAATGTTCATTTTTTGTTAACCACTGAGGTCAAACATTATGAATATTCTTCTATGTACTTGCAAAGTTGCAACATAAAGATGTGACTCCATTCATTTAATTGGAAGGGGAACTTCATGAATGTTTATAATAATGGTCTTCTACTGTTGAGTGTCTTTGAATGAAATCAGGAGATTGGCTGAAATTGCTTACTTGGAAATTGCTCATTTTCTTCCATCCTGCTGTTATGTGTATGGGTAACATTACTTTGTCCTCTGTACCCACGCTCTAGCTTTCATTTTCTCTTAAGTCAGGGATGGACAAAGTGGCTTTCCAGATGTAACTGGACTGCAAATCATATAAGCCCTGGCCTGCATAGACATAGTGCTGGTCACCAGATGTTGGTCTGTAGCTCCCATTATAGACCAGGAATCTGCAATCCAATATCTGGAGACCTGCAATTTGCTTCCCTTGGTACAAAAGGCTGACCTTACACTCTCCCCTCCCAATTTTTCCATTTAGGACCTTGCCTCCTTCTTCAGTGTCAAAATTGAATGTTTTAGGCACATCCTTCCTTCAATAATCTTCTCCTCATTCATTCTCTGCCTGAAATCCTTTGCTTTAGTGTAGTAATTTACTCTGACGTTTGCCCCTCGTGGCCCCTATTTCTCTTCCAAACAGATCACACGAAGGCAAACCAAACACCTTTTCACACACTGTCACCAGTTGATCACTAAATCAACGTACTTTACTTAGGAAAGATGAAGGTCCATTCAGTTTTCACTTTTTCTTAAAACAGGTTTATTAATTACAGATGTTTGTTTAATAGCTCATAAGTATTTACTTCAGATTCATCAAGCATCATCCTTCTATTTAAATCTCACAGGCTACTATTCACTCCTCAGACTAATCACGCCTCAGATCTCCCAACTATCTCTCTCTCTCTCACTCTAACTCTGACTGAACTCTACTCTTTTTTCTTCTCCTCTCAGGCTCCGCCTTTTTAATGTCTCTAGGTTAAAAAGCAAAGAACATGAATAATGCACAATCTATTCGGCATAATAAGTCACCTATTGAACTTATGGAGGGGTTGACTCACCAAATCCTCACTGATCCAATGGTACTACTCTAGCTCTGACCACTACATTACTTGCAAGTCCACTTGATCTTTCCCCAAACCATACATACCCTAAAGATATGGCTTCCATCATCTGTACTGCACTAAAATTTTCATTTCCGAGGTCACATATGATTTTCTCATTGTCAAAGTGGGAATTTTTAAAGCCCTTATTTTCTGTCCTTCTCCGATTTTGATAGAGTTGGTCATGCTATCCTTCTTGATTCTTGCCATGCCTGAGAGTTTCCAAAACTTTGTCTATAGCTATTTCTCTTCCTATGTATCAGATGTTCATTCTGTAGTTTCACTCAGTATAGCTCCTCATCCATCCTTCTCTTATCTGTTAAGTCCCTTATGTTGTTCTTGGTCTTAGGTCATCTCATTGTAGCCAAAGGTTTTCATTTGCCACATATATGTAAATGAAACTTCACTGAACATCTGAAGACATGTGCCTGGACCCACAGCTTTGGTTGCCAGGCTCATTTGTCCCTTTAGATGTGTCAAAATGATATCGAATTCAACACGTCCCATATTGGGCTAAGTATTTTTCCTTAGAAGTCATCTTCCCCGCAATCTCTGTCCACATATACCAACAAAATTCACAATTCGCCAAGCACACTACATCAATATATTTTTTCTTTTGTTTGCTCCATAATTTTAGCCATAGGCCAAATCATGTAATTTCTTTTAATACCAATGTGGGGAAAAAATCTTGCCATTTTTCTCTGCAGTATTAGCTTGAACTCTGGTTAATTATTTGTAATTAATTACTGTTTTACATTATGGGTATAGTGCAATGTAGGATAGCTTTACCTACTTTGTGGTATACTAGTTACTTTTAGTTACTTTGATATTTCCAGTTTTTTCACTGTGTAATGGAGATATTGGTTGGGGGTTGTGCTATGTTTCATGCTGGGTTTTAGATACTAAGGCAATTACAGGGTAGACTGGAAGAGAGTGTTTTCTTTACTGCAGGTCAACAGTTCCAAGCATCATGTGTAGATTTTTCAGATTTAACAGAGAAATTAATAATATTAGTTACTTTTGAGAAATTGACAAATAATAAGTTACATTTTTAAAAATGTAAGTATAATGGTAAAGAATTATTTTGTGTCTTAAAACTACTTAATGATTACATTGGAAAATAGCTTTCCAAATTCTGTGGCTTCCATCCCATTTTTATATCTATCAGAAATTAATTTCCTTTTCATTCAGTGCTTTGCTGCATGGTACAAAATGAAACAGCACAGAGATTGAATTAGTCCCTGTGGCGAAATGCCCACGTCACTCCTGTCCATCATATGGAGCTCAAGTGCAGGAGCCTATGATAGGGACAGAGTTAGAGCGACAGTTGGGGAGTGAGAGGGACAGCTAGAGAAGGAGACAGGGAATGGAAGTGGGAGAGTTAGGACATTGAATTGAGAGAGTTAAGACAGAGATTGGAAAGTTGGAGTGTTATAGAGAATAGGAAAGAGTTAAAAGGAATAGAGAATAGATAGATGATTAAAGAATATTGTTAAAGAGGTTACTGTGAATAAAAACACATAGAAGTAAATATGTAATCAAATCCAATTTAATGAATGATCCTCAACAACTGTGATTTACATACCAACTAAATGATCAATAAACATGTTATATTGGCAGCTCGTGTCTGAGATATATTTGGTATAGTGTGGACTAGATCCACTGGTGGCAGCATAAAAAGAGGCAACGCATCCTGAGGGTGGACCTGTGTTTGGGGAGAACAAACAAGGGGCACTAGGGGGATGCAACAGTCACCATTTGAATGTATGCTGTTGTTATGTGCTGTCAAATCAGAAATGACTTATAGTGACTCTAATCGGGCTTTCAAGAGAAGTGAGATATTTAAGGTTTCACTAGTTCCACACACCCTGTGAATTTCCATGATTGAGCAGGGATTCGAACTCAGGCTCTTGCTTCCTGGTCTGTCACTCTATTCATTGCACGACATTGGGCATCATCTGAATATATAATATTCATGTGCTGCCAAATCAATAATGACTTACAGCAACCCTTTCCAACCCTACACAATTGTAGAACTGTATAGAAAGTGCACAATTTAATTTAGAAGAATGGATTTATGGTTTTAAAAGATCTTTCTCTGGCCCTGCATTCTCTGCCTGTCACTTCCCACGATCACCACTCATTAGCTCAACCAGCCTCACCTCACCAAAGGTGATCTTCTTCTTCCATTCACCCTGGGACAAGGAAGTGACGTCCTCTGTATGTTCTTGTAGTGCTTGTTATACATGCTTCAGTTCCTTCACAATTCTCCTTCTATTATTTCCTGCATTTATCTCTCTAACATTGTTACAGATGAACAGGAACCTGTCTGTTTCTCCTGATGATTATTTGTTGTTTAGTCATTAAGTCATGTCCAACTCTTCGTGACCATATTGACCAGAGCCCGCCAGCCCCTCCTGTCTTCCACTGCCTCCCAGAGTTGGGTCAAATTATTGTTAGTAGCTTCGATGACACTGTCCATCTATCTCATCCCCTGTCATCCCCTTTTCCTCTTGCCCTCACACTTTCCCAACATCAGGGGTTTTTCCAGGGAGTCTTCTCTTCTCATCAGATGGCCAAAGTATTGGAGCCTCAGCTTCAGGATCTGTCCTTCCAGTGAGCACTCAGAGTTGATTTCCTACAGAATGGATAGGTTTGTTCTCCTTGCAGTCCAGGGGACTCTCAAGAGTCTCCTCCAGCACCACAATTCAAAAGCATCAATTCTTCAGCAGTCAGCCTTCTTTAGGGTCCAGCCCTCACTTCCATACATAACTACTGGAAAAACCATAGCTTTGACTATGCGGAACCTTGTCGGCAAGGTAATGTCTCTGCTTTTTAAGATGCTGTCAAGGTCCCTCATCACTTTCCTCCCAAGAAGCAAGACTCTTTTAATTTTGTGGCTGCTGACACCATCTGCAGTGGTCATGGAGCCCAAGAAGGTAAAATCTGTCACTGCCTCCATATCTCCCCCTTCTATTTGCCAGGAGGTGATGGGACTAGTGGCCATGATCTTAGTTTTTTTGATGTTGAGCTTCAGACTGAGTTTTGCACTCTCCTCTTTCACCCTCATTACAAGGTTCCTTACTTCCTCCTCTCTTTCTGCGATCAGAGTGGTATCATCTACATATCAGAGGTTGTTGATATTTCTTCCAGCAATCTTAATTCCAGTTTGGGATTCATCCAGTCCAGTCTTTCGCATGATGTATTCTGCATAGAAGTTAAATAAGCAGGGAGACAATATACAGCCTTGTAGTACTCCTTTCCCAATTTTGAACTAATCAGTAGTTCCATATTCAGTTTTAACTGTTGCTTACTGTCCCACATATAGATTTCTCAGGAGGTAGATAAGGTAGTCAAGCACTCCCATTTCTTTAAGAACTTGCCATAGTTTGCTGTGGTCCACACAGTCAAAGGCTTTTGCGTAGTCAATGAAGCAGAAGTAGATATTTTTCTGGAACTCTCTGGCTTTCTCTATAATCCAGCGCATGTTAGCAACTTGGTCTCTGGTTCCTCTGCCCCTTCAGAATCCAGCTTGTACTTCTGGGAGTTTTTGGGCCACAAACTGCTGAAGCCTACCTTGTAGGATTTTGAGCATAACCTTGCTAGTGTGTGAAATGAGTGCAATTGTACGGTAGTTGGAGCATTCTTTGGCACTGCCCTTCTTAGGGATTGGGATGTAAACTGATCTTTTCCAGTCCTGTGG